TACTGTATTATACTCTCACTATCAGGTAGTGGGCATTGACTTTTTTTTGCCAATATTTATTTCATTACTCAATATTGGGCGTTGCCCAGTTATGGTTCTATTTTTCTTCTGTAATCTTTATCAATAGCAGTCGCCATAATGCTGACAATTTTTTCTTTAATACTTTTGTCAGTAGTGATTTTGAATTGAACCAATACAATGATAAATAAAAAATTGACGAACTACTAAACACAACTCTACAAAATGTTTTTTTAATATCATCACAATATAATTTTGAAATATATATTTTTTCACATATAAATATTGTAAAATAACATAAGATAAATAGCTTTTACTAAAATATTTATTTATTAAAAGGAAATGGGATGTAGAATAAAATACTGTGCTTTACCTAAAACGACCTTGCAGAACGTATTTGTTTCCTTCCATACATTAAGCACGAAAAACATACTTCTTTGACCATTAGCTGTATTAAGGTTCCCACTGAATGTTGTTTGTAATCATCTCCTCTAGCCGAAGCAAAAAAGTTCATCTAAAATTAAAAAAAAATGTAATATAATTGGTTGTATTAAAAGTTTAATCGTTCCTCTTATATGTATGTGTCAGACGGGTTTCCATAATGTGATATTCTTAATAAAATATGACATTATGGAAGAGTAAAAGCAATTGATTATAAATAGATATAATTCCAGAGGTCAAACTTTTTTGCAGATCAGGACTGATTTTTATTATAAAACTTTTATAATGTAACACAAAGAAGAATACCATTCAGAATTTATATATATATACATGAAATTTATATATATATACATATATATTGAATATTTCTATAGAAGTTGAGTTTTGCGTGTTCAAAGATAAACCATTCCAAATTGGAGGTGCAGTCATACAAAAAGATTTTGAGCCTAGGGAGGTTTTTTGTTGACGACGTGTAAGTTGGCAACGGTCTTATGATCTTGTATTTTGTTTTGAAGTTCGGACTTCTAGGAGCTCAAATAAATATGCAGGGGATTTTGATAATAAAATTTTATATGTGATAACTGATATATTATAGATTATTCTTTGATGTATTGGTTTGATGTATTAACCAATGAAGATTATGTTTGATGTATTAACCAATGAAAAGATTTCAGCAATATTTCTGATTTTAAATGGAAAGGAGAATGGAAAACAATACGAGGTGCCACAAGCAATTATGTTTGCAGCTTCTTTGGTCAGACATGGACGAATGTGGCGAAGTGCACGAATGTGGTAATTGCAGGATTTAATAATAATGTTTATGTGCTTGTCCATAGAGAGCTTTGAATCTAGGATGACTCCAAGGATTTTTACTGAATTTATTGTAGTTATTGTGGTTCCAGAAAACGCAATATTCAAATCATTTTTATATTTGCTAGTTTGTTTTCTAGATCCAAATAAAATAGCTTCTGTTTTATTTGGATTAAGAAGAAGTCCATTTTCTAGAAACCATGTTGTTACTGCATTAGCACACTCAGTGATTTTGTTGATGCTATCTTTGCCAAGGCTGAGGAAAGTATAAAGTTGGGTATCATCAGCATATTGATGATGATTTGTACCAAATTTAGCTATAATACGATATGTAGGTGAAACAAACATGAAGAATAGAAATGGGCCTAATACACTACCCTGTGTTACTCCTGTTGAACTTGCTATTAGTCTAGAATTTGATGATCCAATAGAAACAAAAGATTTTCGAGAGTGCAAGTATGATGTTAGCCATTTTAATGTAATATCTGTGACACCAAAATCATTCTTAATTAGGGTAATCAGCAGGCTGTGATCAATTGTATCAAATGCTGAAGATATGTCCAGAGATAGGAGAATAGTGGTCAAACCATCATTAATGTTTAGCAGGATGTCATTGCATTTCTTTAAGTGTGCTGTTTTGGTTGAGTGATAAGATCTAAAACCAGGTTGTAGAGGATTGAAGTTGACAGATGATGCATGTGGATAAAGACAAGATAAAGCAAGCTTTTCAATAATTTGAAATTGTATTGAGATTTGATATGGGGCGTAGATTTGTTAGGTCAAATTCTGCTAGTCCTGATTTTTTGGGAATTGGTGTTATTTGAGCAACTTTATATGAGGTTGGGAAAATTCCGGATTTAAATGAGAGGTCAGCAAGGCGAGCTATAATTGGACTGAATATTTCTGAACAAGATTTCAGGATGTTTGTTGGAATAATATCAAGTGGTGATGTCTTAGGTTTGAGAGTTTTGATTATTTTCAACACATCTTTAGGTGTGACTGTACCAAATGTTGTTAATATATCTACAGGGGGAGATAACTCTGAGATAAATTTAGATATTGGAGTTTTTGCAAGCCTTTCCTGAATAGTGTTCTTTATAATTTCGAGTTTTCGTATGAAATATTGACTTATTATATCGCATTTTGCTTCTGGTATTGTGTTATTAGTTTTAGAACTATTCGAATGTAGTAATTTCTTGGCAATGTTCCATGTTTCTTTTTGATCACCGTATGCTGAATTTAGTTTTGCCTTATAAAAAATACATCTCGATTTGTGAATTGCTGCTGCAGACTCATGGCGTGCAGTTCGATATAATTTTTTATCTGATAAACTACCAGTTTTTCTATAACAACGCTCTAGTTTATGACGTCTGATTTTTTTATTCTTGGCATCTGAAGAAAACCACTGATCATCGTGTTTACCAATTCGCATTGAATATTTTCGAATGGGTGCTAAATGATCAAAAACAGTTGTTATACTTGATCTTATTTGTTCAGCATAATCATCCACATCGTTTTCAGGTGATAAGCAACATGGCATCACTTGCAATTCTTTTATAAAGCATGACAAGTTTAGTTTTCTAAAGTTTCGTTTTGATAACTAAACAGTTTTAATATTTGAAGGTTGATGATAAAGTTCTACCCGAATCATATAGTGATCTGAAATACCCTCGTCAGTTACTTGGATACTCTTGAGTAAAATATCATCATGTCGATTTATTACAAGATCAAGCAAGTTGGCTATACCAGTAGTAGATGATATGCGAGTTGGAGATTGAACTCGTTGTATCATGTTGTAGGTCTCTAAAATCTCATTAAGTCTTGAATTGCAGGTTATTGAAGTAGTACCTGGACAGTTAAAGTCACCACACAGAAGTATTTCTCCAGATAATGTTTGAAGTTCCTCTAGGAGTTCAGATAATTTGAAAAAGAAAATGTTTGTTGGAATGATTGGATTTGATCGATAAATAGCAACAATATTGTAGATAGTATTTGCCAGATTTAGTTTAGCTGATGTACGTTCATAAGACAGACAGGTAGATGATAATGAGAGCTTGATATTTAAGTTGTCTTTATATATTATTGCAACGCCTCCTCCACGATGGTCTGATCGGCAGTATTGAATTGTTTTAAAGCCTGGTGGGGCCATATCTTCTTTAATTGCAGTAGAGTTGTCCAACTTTATCCAAGTTTCAGTGAGTATAAAAATATCTAGAGAATGATTTTGCACTATATCATGAATGATAGCAGATTTTTTCATGGCAGATTGAACATTTTGGATACCCAAATTTAATGCAGAGGTTCTTTTAATTTTTATATGTAAATTATGTTGATTTAATTTCGATCCATTTGAGTTCACCTGATCGTATACCCCAATAATATTTTTTCCATTGTGCACATTGTATCGTTACCTCCCATTTGTTCCCTCAATCTCTTGAGCAAGTGCTGCATTTCTAGTATTTCTAACTTTTCTGAGTTCACTTTCGAACAATCTCTCATTTGCTGTTTAGTCTTTTTTAATAAAAATATTTTTGAAGTTAATACTGTCCTTTAACTTTTTAGAACTTTTAATTATAAAATTTTAAGTTTCTTTGTTCTCCAATTCAACTAAGATAAGGTCAGGTGGTCCTTCTGGTCTTTTAGCATTTTTAGTTAGTCGAATTATTCTTATTGCATTTGTTATTGAAAAATCTGGTTTAATTGCTTTTAGTATTGTTTCAATGGTTTGTTTATCATTTTCTTCATTAACTTGTTTGTCTAAAGTAGTATGATCAGCAACTCCACTTATAATGATGTTGTTTTCAATTCTTTTTTTATTATTAAACTCGTTTGTAATTTTTGTCATCATTACCACTTCAGTTTCTTTTGGTTTTAATTGATTTTTCTGAATTAATGTTGCTTGTGCATATGTGAATATTGTTGTTGGTTTATTTGTTGTTGCTGTTAAGTTATTTATCTTTTCATCTTCAAGAATTTTAAGTCGTTTTAAAAGGTCTGAAACAATCTATGATATTTTGCCACACCATTTATGCATGTTTTTGGTAACTTCAGCAGACACACTTGGAATTGTTGGCCAATTTGGTTCTTCTAAGCATTCATAGTCGAATTTCATGCTTTTTTTTATTTATTTTTTTCAAATATATGAGAGAGCTACCACACTAAATAACAGTGGATTACCTCCTGATATCTTCTTATTAACACAAATACTTATTACACAGGGACTAAAAAGTTTCAGTATGTGTTTTTTTCTGTATATCTATATATATATATATATATATACATATATATATATATATATATATATATATATATATATATATATATATATATATATATATATATATATATATATATATATATATATATATATATATATATATATGTATATACAGTGGTTTTCATAAATGTAGACGTACTCATATTTGAGAATAGAAAATTTTAGGTATTTTAACGATAAAACAATGACGAAAAAAGATTTCGGTTTAGTTTTTTTTCTATTTATCAGATAAATACATACAGAATACAAAATTTGAAAAAAGTTTACAAAAAAAATGAAATACTAAGTAACAATTAGGTACAACTACGTGGTATTAAAAAAATTAGACAAAAAAAATTATTCATAAATTTAGACGCACGATACATTAGAAGGCGTAATTTATGAACCAATCAATATTTTGTGTATTCGCCTTTTGCTTTAATACAACTAAGAACTCTTCTAGGCATAGACTCAACAAGATTTTTGCACATCGCTTCTGGGACCCCATACCAGGTCTCCTTAAGGAATTCCTTCAGCTGACCAAGTATGGAAATTCATTGCTAATTCACGATCAATCCAAGCTACATCCTTTGCTAATTCACGATCAATCCAAGCCCAAATGTTTTCAATCGGGTTCAAATCAGGTGAACATGGAGGCCACGGTATTGTCATAATATTATTATCGTTGAACCACTCCTTTGTATAGTATGCAGTATGTGCAGTAGCGCTTTCTTGTTGAAGTTTCCATGGTTTATCATTGAGCATAAGCAGGTCAATTGATGGAATTAGGTTGTTTTCCAGTACTTCTACGCATATTCTAGAGTTGATTCTTACGGTGTATGTTTGGCACATACCAACACCTTTGTAATTGAAGCATGACCAGATTCCTATCGAGCCTCCTCCACTTTGTACAGTTGGTCTAATGTACCTGGCGTAATACTTTTCGTGAGCCATTCTTTTGACTGTTATGTTTGCGATTGATAAGCTCAAAGTTACTCTCATCACTCCACATAATGTTTTCCCATTGATCTATTGTCCAATACCTTCTTTCACGGCACCATTTTAGTCTCCTTTGTTTATCATATGGACGCAGAAGCGGTTTCTTCAAAGCAGTGTAGACTCCAATCTTGTATTTGATAAGTATTCGGCGGACTGTGCTTTGAGAAATAGATGTATTTTGCGTTGTATTGAATTCTGTGGTCAATTCTTTGTAACTAATTCTTGGATTAGCTGTGACAGCTCTAAAAAGAACACTATTGTCCTTTCTCGTGGTTGACAAGGGTCTACCTGGTCTCATTTTCTCACTGGCACTACCAGTGTGAAGAAAGTTTTGTTTCGTTGTCCGAACGCATTTCTCAGAAACTCCAATTAACTTGGCGATTTCTCTATTACTTTTAGTTCCTTCTTTGATGTGCGCAATAATTTGCCATCTTTCACCTTGAGTGATACGTCATTTGCCCATTTTTTATGTTTTTTTTAGTGCAAAACTAACTTAACTTTTGTTTATTTATTAAATAATGATTAAATAATTCCAGGTAAGTCATATTTATATAAGGTTTTTTGACAAAATCAATTAATTTAGGCCTATTAATGAGAAATATAAGAAAAATACTAATTAACTATCAATTAACAAGATATAAGACTTTCTTAATTGTGCGTCTAAATTTATGAACAAAATAAAATCAAGTTTATCAATTAACTTTTTTGTGTTAATCGGTATAAAATAAGTAATAAACATCCTGTAAAAAAAATTAAGGTACTCTATAATAGAGTTTCATTTCCTCTTTTAAATTATATACCAAACATAGCGGTAGCACTTTTATTTTATTTTTATTTTGAGTATTTTCTTACATATATGAAAAAAAAAATGAATGCGTCTAAATTTATGAAAGCTACTGTATATATATATATATATATATATATACACATATATATATATATAAACATAAATATATATATATATACATATATATATATATATATAAACATAAATATATATATATATATATATATATATACATAAATATATATATATATATATATATATATATATATATATATATATATATATATATATATATATATATATATATATATATATATATATATATATATATTATAACAGTTAGAAACAATAATAATGACGTATTTATTCCTTAAATGAATATCTTTAACAAAATAAATAGACTATAAAATTTATATTTTATAGATGAAATCTTCTCAAAGTGTTTTAATTTAAGAGTAAACTTAATATTTTAATCTTGATACTTGAGTATAGCAATATTTTTTCTATTCTTCTCTTGATGAAATATGTTTTAATCAATTGCAACTACTTCTTCTCATAATTTAATCCGTAAATGTTGAATAAAAGAATTTCATTACTCTTACCACTTCTTTTCGTGATACAACCTTTTTTAATATAAATTACCAACACTTCTTCTCCTGATTCACTCTGTAAATGTTGTATTAAAAATACTTTTCCTACTTCTTCTTTTCATAAATTAAAATTTTTATTTTGAACTCTTATTTGTTTTTGTAAAAAAATAATAAAATAAGGATACCTGTTTATGTAAAAAGATGCTATTATTTATTTTTTTGTATTGTGATTAAAAAAAAAAAGATGCTCTTACTTATTTTTTTGTATTGTGATTAAAAAAAAGTGCTATTATTTATATTTAACACATTTAACAAAACTAAAGGACATAATGAATATTCCTTAATGTTACGCATGCGTACCAATATGTAAAATTTAATATAAAGCGCCAATATTGGCAACAAAACAATAATGGGATAAAATTGGCGCATTATTGTTTGCCAATATTGGTAAGACAATATTTGCCAGACAATATTTGCGCAATATCGGAAATCTTGGCCAAGATTAGCCAAGATACCCAATATCGAGCCAATATTACGCCAATATTGTTTGCTACTTGGAAATATATTGATTTTTTTTTGAACTTGAGTTTTTGCTTAGTTTTTTTTACAACGCAATATAATTGATATAAATATATTTTTTATTATTTTTCAATTCTAAACAATTGAGTGAAACAGCGATTTATTAGGGTTTAATTTTGGATTACTAAAGTCTTTATTTTGGAACGCCCAAACATGCAAATAAATGATACAACTTTTCTTGAAACTGTCTAACATTTTAAACTTAAGTTTTGTTTCCAACTTGTGTTGACTCTGATTTCAGACGACACTAAATTGTCTTGATTCTGATGAAAATTGTAATATTTTAGTAAATATTGAGATCTCTATTATTTACTATCCAAATCAAAATATTAAATAGTAAACAAAACCTGTTGCACTAGGGAAATTAAATCCAATAAGCTCTCTTTAAATATTTATGAAATAAATACATTATTTCATTGTCTTTTTGTAAACAACTACACTCCTCGGAAACTTAATAATCCTTTTGTTGATTATAATATCATAAAAAAGGGAAAAGTTGTTTAAGTAGTACTCGATCAAAATATGATATGGAGAAATCACATGAAATTAAAAACAAAATTTCAAAAAATATAGGTATTTTATACAAAACTGTTATGTTATATATATGTTATAAAAACTATAAAACTAATTTTAAACCAGTCTTTACGTAACATTTACATACAACAATATAAACACTGATTGGTATTGCACTAATCTAGGAAGATAACTTTACAACGAACCAAAAACATGCTAAAAGGATTTTTTGAAAAGAAATAGTTCCTTTCTAAAGTTTCTTCCTTATTATACTAAATGTTTTTAAACGAAATTTTTATTCTATTTTTATTTTTATGCTAAAATTTGAAAAAAAATTGACAGTTTTTTTTCTAAACTTTTTATTTAATTCACTTTGAATAAAGTAAGTTTAATAAAAGTTATAGAGGAAGACAAGGCAAGATAGCAAATGTTTTAAAAGTTCTTACTTTTTGCAAAACTCCAAGTCAAGAAACAATAATATTTTGTCAACATGTTTATTTGATCATCATAATTCACCTGCATACATATTTTGAAGTAGAAAAATTTGAAGTTAAACTTAAAATGAAAAATATGAAATGCTTAAATTTGTCATCTGGTCACGTGATAGGGGCAAGAAGACTTACAATGTAATTTTTGTCCCCAATTTTATTAAATTTTGGAAACTATCAAATGTACTTTTCAAAGCATCGGAAAATAAACATACGGGATAAAAATCTAAAATAATTCCACAAACGGAGTACCACACACTAGCATATAGAGTACCATACTAGCATATGGAGTATCACACACTAGCATATGGAGTATCACACACTTGCATATGGAGTATCACTCACTAGCATAACGAGTAGCACACAATAGCGATAATTCCAAACGTAAAATCTTTTTATTAACTTAAAAAATAACTTATACGTATAAAATCACAATAATAAAGTTTAAAAAACTGATTTTTAAAAATACAAGTTTTATATACAGTCTTGCTTCCATCCGTTTTTTTAATTTGTTTGTATTAGAAGTATTCTTAATACTAAGCCTCTTAATAAAGGAAGCAAACTTGCTATCCAGTGCACTTAAAAATTTAGTTTTTTTTGTAAAGAAAAACTACTAATCATTTTTTAATTTTAATTTTTTTTACACTCATTTTTTTCAGTTTTGTTGAATTTACCGGTTTGGGGCTAAACCATCCATTTATCGTTATATAAGAAACCGTTTTTCATTGTCTTATAAATAAAAACATTTTCGCCAAAACTATATTATTTTTTGAGTTCTAAACTTGAGAGTCCAAAGTGCATATTTTTGAATAAAGTTGTTTGCAATGGAGTTGATATCAAGTAATCTTGTATTTTCAGTTATATAATTTTTAGTTGAAAAGCAGAAATTCAAATTATTTTTGTGTATAAGTGTGTTTAATGACTTTTCAACAATAAATTTCACTATAGTTTAATAAACTCAAGGTGAAAAAACTACATTCCAGGTGTGATGGAAGGTAGTTAGAAACAGTCTAACAA